TATTAAAACACTCTGCCATTATACAAAATTCTCCTTTTTCCTGGTTAATAAATACACCCTAAAATTTATCATGTAGCTAAATAGAGATGTGTTGTTATTTACAAAACATTCAATAAGGAAGCTGAAGGCGCTATTTCTTCGTAAACTTCATATCCTCCCTTCACACACACGAGCGGCACTTCCAAGTACAAACCTCTTGTGCGCTTCTAAACATTGCAACTTGATCTACCTAAAGGTAGAATTCAGTGCATACAGAGCTAGAAAAATTCCAGCACCTTCATGCCCTATAGTCTCCCCACAATGAGGAACCACTGAATTATTTCTTTTTGCTAGAAAATGATGAGTGTGAAACCCAGGGATTCACTGAATCCCATGCTGATAACTCTTATTGTATTTACTGGTCTCTTCCAAGCAGTCATTGAAGGAGCACATGTCCAAGACTCGCACATATCATCTGTAGCATGATGAAGAACACTTATTTACTACTTTATGAACTGATTTCTTATGTGTTAGATGATGCACCAGTATAATTCTGAAAATACATTACAGGGCTGCAGTGGTTATGTTTTGTTCATTAGTCATATAAGGAACCTGAACTTGCACAAATCCATGGGACCTGATGAAATCTATCTGTGCATCCTGAGGGAACCAGCAACTGAAGTTGCTAAGCCGCTATCCATCATATTGGAAAAATCATGACAGTCAGGTGAAGCTCCCAATGACTGGAAAAAGGGAAATATAACCCCCATTTTCAAGAAGGGGAAAATGGAAGACCCAGGACAGTCAGTCTCTGTGCCTGGCAGGGTCACGGAGCAGATTCTCCTGGAAACCATGTGAGGGCACATGAAAAACAACAAGGTGGCTGGCAACAGCCAACATGGCTCCACCAAGGGCAAATCCTGCCTGACCAATCTGGTGGCCTTCTACAATGGGGCTACAAAACTGATGGACAACGACAGAGCAGTTATCGTCTTCCTGGACTTGTTCAACACTGTCTCTAAACCAGAGAGACATAAATTTGATGGATGGATCACCTGGCAGATAAAGAATTGGCTGGATGGTTGCACAGGAGACCTTATAGCAGCCTTCCAGTATCTGAAGGGGGCCTACAAGTGTACCAGAGAGGGATTCTTCATCAGGGATGGTAGGCAATAGGACAAGGGGTAATGGGTTTAAACTTAAAAGAGGAGAAGTTCAGGTTAGACATAAGGAAGAAGTTCTTCACTGTGAGGGTGCTGAGGCACTAGAACAGGTTGCCCAAAGAAGCAGTAAATGCTCCATCCCTGACAATGTTCAGGGCCAGGATGGAGAGAGCCTTGGGTGACATGGTTTAGGGTGAGGCTTCCCTGCCCATAGCAGGGAGGTTGGAAGCAGATGATCTTAAGGTCCTTTCCAAACCTAACCATTCTATGATTCTATGCTTTTTAAAATGTCAAAATATGCACAATTTCCCAAGATACCCACATGTGATGGTATATAATACAAATAACTGATTGTATGCTCTAAACCACATTTAGAAAAAGAGAGGTTGCTTCTTTACCTCTTTATTTCATCCAGATTTGGCTCACAGAGATTATTTACACCAAATAAACTCCACTTTATCACTACATGTTCAACAGAAACAGACATATTAAAAAAAAAAAAATCTATTAGAAGTGACCTTTTTGCTTTGTGTTCTCTCCCTTCAAAACCTATTTTCAAAATGGTGATGCAGTTCTTAAAGCATGTACCACTCCCCATTTCCAGTATTTTCAGTCTCCTAGGACAAGAAACCACACGTCATTTCCATCACACTTCTGTGTAGGCTGGTAGCTAAGGGTAGAGCAGTGTGTTGTTAACTCTGCCCAGTCACTTCAGTGCTTTATTAGAGGTTCAGACTTTACCAAGCGAGACAGCTGCTGATGCTTTCCTATGTGATCATGTTGCAAATAGGAAGATTTATTTTGGGCAAATTCAACAACAAAGCATTTTCCACTATATTAAGTTTTGCCAGGAACTAATGAACTTCAGAAAACACAAGCAAAAAAAGCACAAGTATGGGAAAATATTGCTTCTGCATGTTAAAATGTTGGGTTTAGATGATCCTTAAGATTTATTCTTTATGGACAAAATTTTCATCATCTACATGCATGACACCGAACCTCAATCTCATAGTAGTAACCAACAAGTAACTCCTCTTCTTAGATTTGTAAAAAAGTTTTTAGAAATCTATTTACAAGGGATCCTTGACACAGGACTTGCTAAGTGACATCTATATACCTTTTCACATGTCTAAACATCATAAAAATTTTTTGCTCCTTGTCACACTCGAGGTATTCAGCACTACTATACCTTTCAAAAGCATCTTGAGTATTTAAATCTATTTTAGATTTCTTATATTGGATGTTGCAAGAATTATTAAAATCCACACCACAAACACAATCTGCCTCTCATGTAGCATGACAAATGTCAAAAGACACTGCCAGAGAAAACCTGTTAATAAATTCAGCTCTAGGGACTCCAAGAACTTGGCGGATCCCCCAGAGACACAGATAAATCCAATCATACTTGTACCTCCAATGAACTAGAGAAGTAAGCCCCCAGTGAAAGCACCCATTACTAATACGTTTAAATAGGTAACAGGCCAAAAATGGTTAGACAAATGACACACCAGCATTTCAGTTTGCCACTGCTCCGGCAGCCAGCAGTACAGAGCACAACATGGTTATCAGCTGCACAGCCTATCTCGAGTTGGCATGCGTATTGATAGCATTGCTATCTCAAGCTAGCCACAGCCCTTCAGGAATAGCTCTCATGCAAGTATTCTGGAATTAAAGCCATTTTAACATGGAGTAAGATCTGAATAGCCAAATGGAATCAGTGTAGTTAACAGCACAACGGTTTGTTCCCCTTCTCCCAGTGAAATCCCAAAGGGTACGTAACTAATTTCTGCAAACTTCACGTTCCTGAGTGGCTTTCAAGGTTAATCACAGTTACAAATAGCAATACTTTAACCTAGAAAGAATATAAAAATGAAGAAGTCTGCAGCTAACACGAAGGATTAAATCCCTCGGTCTACCAGAGATAAAAAGGAAAACAAAATAAATAAAAAAAAAAAATTAAAAAAAAAAAAAAGGAGGGGCATATTTGGCTTCTGATAAACGTTTGGGAAGAATGATTTGTCAACCTTATAAGAACCAGAAGACAGTATGTAGAACAGTCAGTTTATGCCAACAGCACAACGTAACCAGAGAGACTCAGTACAGTGGAGATAAGGAATATTTAGAAAAGCTTACTTAGCAAGGGACAAGAGTTGATTGATGGCCTGAATGAAAGACTACTGAAAGTATTCTTGATTTCAACAGATTTTAAATCAAGTTGAGCCTTAAGGGAAAAAAATGCAGAGAGAAACTTTTTATTAACTGTTACATCTTTACTAAAAGTGACTAAATTAAGTTTACCTATGGCAAAAGAGCCTCAGCAAGAAGAATGTGCTGTCACTGCATCTGCTAACACGCTGAATACTGCCACCATAACTGCCACTCAGAGCTCTTAAAGAAACAAGAAGCAAATGCACTCTTCAGAAATACAATGTTAAACCAAAGAAAACACTAAATACTGGGGGAGATGGAGGATATTTAGTTCAAATTAAAAACAAAACAAAACAAAACCAAAGAAAAAAACCATGAGCAATCTACAAGATGCATGTGTTTTGTTTATCTTTGTGTGAACTTATCTTTTAAAATGAATCTTTTATTAGTAATGTTATCAAACACAAGATTAACTAAATCCATTAACAGTGACATCAAATTCTTAACAGTATTAGAGTGATATAAAAAAAAAGAAATAAAAATTAAAAAAAAAAAAGAAAAAAAGCTGTAGTTATTTCCTTTGCAGTGCTTCCAAAGTGTTCTAGTCCAATCTCTTGAGAGGACCTTAACACTCCAAATGTCCCATGTTACCAGTTCTAGATCAGTTGCTACTACGCATAAGTCAGTCATGCAAGAAACAACTCTACTTGGGGGCTTCAGAATCAAAATGACTGAACTGGTAATTAAAGTTATAATCTTATTCTTAAAAAACTTCTGACAACAGCTTGATTCAGATAAGCAAGAAATTACCAGGAAGCTTCCAATGCCCTTCCCAATGCTATGCTATCAGTAGTCAATATTAGCAACTACATTTTTATAAAGTATCTTTTACTAGCCAACTATAAATATCAATTTTTATAGTCACACTGTAAACAATCAAGTATGACTTCCTGTTCTAAGTTTAAAGTTACCATGATGTGAATCAATACACTTGTGTACTACTTGATTACTACACTTATGTAGAACACAAGAAAAGCACGTATGAGCTGAAGGAGAACACACTTAAAGGTTTTAATCATTGCACCCTAAAATTATAAACATGGCTCTGAGGTCTATTGTTAACTACTGGAGTTCGTAAGGAACAAAACTCCCCTTTAACTGGGATCTTCACATACCTGCCAGTAAGCATTTGCAAACTCGTGTTCCTGAGGAACAACACCACAAGCAGTACCCAAGATTTTCATGATTGCTTTAATGTTCTGTATCATCCCTTCACAGAGTGAACTGTAAGCTTCTCATGCTAAGAATGCTGGTGATTCTTTACCATGTTACTATGACACAATAAGTAAAAATTTCAGAACTGGGAAACTCCCAATGTTGTGGAATTTAACTTAAAATACAATTTTATTATGAAATAAGAAGATTAAATATTTGATTATTTCCTTTTGGGAGTGTGTGTAGGCAAAATGCCTCCGAAATGTCTTTTGGTTTTTCTTTCATTTCAAACATATTGACTGTTTCTAAACATAAAGGAATTCAAAACTTGTTTTCAGAGACTACTACGAAAGATTATTTAAATTAGTATTACAGTATACATGCTACATCTGGTAAAAGAAAGACAAATCTTATTTATATTTTAAACCTCTTCAGAATTAAATTACCTAATACACATACACAAGAATAACACCAGACTAGGCAATATGTTCTGACCTTTCTGTTTTTGTTTCATTGTCAGCTCGATAGTGTTCAAGGTCTTGGTAAAGAGACTGCAATTCTGCTTGAAGTCCTTTTTCCCGTTCTATACTTCCTTCATAAAATTTAATCTCCTTTTCCATTGCTTTTACTTTTTCTTCCATAACCTTAAATTCATGAAGTATCAAATAGCTGACTCCACAGTATTTACATACTGTCTCATCCCGGGACATCTAGAAAGAGAGAAAATTATAAGACTGTTAGTAAGAAAAGTTGAACAGAAAAGCCAACCTGAATGACATGAAATAATAATAATAAATCTGAATAGTTTAAACCACTTACTGCTCTGGGGCATTTATGTTCAGATGACGCTACTGCTTTAACATAAAAAAAAAAATACAAATTTTAAACTGAATTCTAAACTGAAGTACCTCTGAATTGTCTGATGTATTAAAATAAAATTCTATGTTTTACAAAATTATCTCCTTAATGAATTTGTGATTGCCTGAGCCAGAAAATGTTATTTACTGTGTTTTTTTGACAAGTCATACCCAACTTAAGTAGGCAAGATGAAAAGAGGAAAGTAAATAAAATTATATAATCCAGCAATCTTTACAAAATAATTCAAATGAGTAAGGGACTAATTATTATGAAGTAGTGCCCATGTCCTTGAGTGTTGTGGAAAATGTAACCCATTTACTAGGTATGAAGTAATCAAACACTAAAAAAACTCAGAGAATACATAATATACATCTAATTGAAAGACCTTTTCTTAAATTGAGAAACTTACTTTTGTAAGTGATCAAATTATTAAGCTTTGCAGTAAGGCTTCACAAATACGAACAGATACATATGCTCTGACTTTGACGCACACATTATTCAATGTATCAGTTATTCCTAAACATTTTAATCATTTTCACTTCCAGAAAAAAATGTTTAATTTACGAGTGATGCAGAACTGAACCTGCAGAAGAAATGGGTATAGAGTAAAAAAATCAGCCAGGCCAAGCCAAGAAGGTCTGACACTTCAGTAAGGGACATGGAAGCATCTGCATACCAGCACAGATCACTGTTTCCTGAGCATAACAGGTCCTACCCTGTTCTTGTGTCACAGCATAAATGCATTTCAGATGGACAGAATTAAGACTAGATCAAAGGAGACTCATAATATAGCTAAAGAAACAACCTCAAAGCAAGAAATATAAAAAGGTATTGGTAAGCTTGGAGATGTGAAAGATGGAAAATGGGTGGCAGCTGAAAGAGCAGTTATGTGTTTGTGTGTTGAGAGCTTAAAACAAGCTTTAACCTTTCTTGCAATTATCAATCATTTACAGGATTTTGCACAATGACTTATGAAAATCAGAACGCTGGAAAACTGCAAGCAGTTTAAGTCAAAGAATGTAAGAATTCTGTTTTACAGGAAAAGAAAAAAAATAACATTTTGAGACATTGGGATAAACTGAACGGAATCGGATGACAGAAAACAGCTTTCAAAAATTATAAACTACAGACTCATGATCTCATGATTCAATAATCTGTAGCACTTTAAATGCAGCTTGATAAAAATGGTATTTCAGGATGCCCTGGAATTACCAGGCCAAGCTTTATTTAATCTCAATTCTGATTTCTTAGGTTTGCCCCAGTTTGAAATACCCCTAGTTACAGTTGCTCTGAATGAGCTGAAAATGCAAGTTTATTTTTCCTGGCAGCTGCAGACTGTGCTTGGAAATATGAAACTGTTATTCAGGATAACTTCCATAAAGTTCCAAAGCCTTAAAATTAGTATATTGAAAAAGGACAAAATGAGCTGTTACAAGGAGCACAGGAGGGGGGCTCTTATCCCAAAAAGAACATTGTGCTCTCATGCAGCACGACCACTGCTGTCTTTCAAATAAACAGTTACAGAAATTTCACTGGATACAAGGATTAAAATCAAAATAAAGCAATTGGGGTCCTATACTGAAAATGTTCTATGCAAGTAGTAACAGTTTTTAGTTTCCAAGTTCAATTTTGTTACTGAACTTAAAAATAAATGAAGTCATACAACAATAAACACTATCTCTCTGGACACAGTAAGAAATGGGTCTCGTTCTTCTTCACCTTCATTCCTCGGGTGAAATAAAAACTTGCAAGGATTTCAAATCAGGTTGGATTTTTAAAGTATTTGCTACATTGTCAAAAAAAAACCACAGGAAAGCCAGAGGCCTTGTATTACAGCAGTAAAGAAACAAGTTCTGTCTTTTAATCAAAACCTTGCTTCTGTACATGCAAAATTATCCTGCCACCACTGCAATATACTGTATATAGATTGATCTAGTTTTAAAAGATTTATCTGTAGTGTAAATTAGCAGTTTCCAATACTGGTATACAAATTTGGCATGGATTGTGTGATACTTAACAGGCAAGCTAGCCCAAACTAAATTCCAAGCTGCAGAACATTAACACCAACAAGCAAGCCAACTAATTTAAATCTATGTATGCCCAAAATGCCTAGAAAAATAATAGGATGCAGTTGAAAGTGAATAGCTCCAAAACAGCAAAGCCTGAACTGTTGAGAGCAAGAGGTGTACTAATATGAATTCTTATGCTAAATCCAAGATTCCTCTCTCATGCCCACAGTGGTCAAACCACAAGCAGGACTTTCTCCTTTTTCTATTTCTCCTCTCTTTAGCATTGTCAACATCACAACCTGAGTTCTCCTCACTGATACCGAAAACACCTCCTGAAATTCCTGAGCTGGTTGGATATGTTTTTCAGAAGCTACTGCAGTTTCACACAGGTACAGAGAAATGCTGGCAAGCTGCAGATGCCAATTCCATTCAGCAAAAACGCTGACAAAGCTATCTTAGGGCTACACCAATTTTCAGATCAGAGCCAGAAAGCATTCTATAGCTTTGAAGACTACTTACAAACAAAATGTTTTGGGTTTTTTCAGTTTCCAAGAGAAATATCATTACTTTATCTATGTGTGTATTCCTCTACTGTCACCCTTTTTTTGTGAATGAGAATGTCAGATCATTTATAACCAATTCTGACTGTGACGGCAGACACATTTAAGTGTCTGAAAGTTTTAGGAAGACAACCTACCTGGTTGTCTAAGTTCCCCACTGAAGAAAATTCTGGAGTGTGAGGGTAGCTCTTTTCAGATATCAGATAATCCATATAGGAGAGAGATAAGAGTCCATTAGACCTTGTATGTTACAAGGTCTAATGGAATGATTAACCAATACTCTATTACACAAAAATCTGTAGGAAACAAACCTGCATTAGTTCTTTTGCTTACAAGGCTACCTTTTCTGGAATAATATTACTTTTGAGTAAACATGAAAAATGTGCGTTACATACACAGTGATTTACATTCTCAGATTCTATATTTTACTATTTACATTTGATCTGAAGACTGTTTTCACCTTCTCAAACTCAAAGTAGGGGAAAAAAAAAATAATCAGGGGCAAAGCACAGTTTGGAAAGAATAGAAACAGAAACTGTGAGAGCTCTAATTAGAAAATGGAATCTGTATGTCCTTAGCAGTGAGAACAAGCAGTGAATAGAAACGAAAAAAAAAATCAATTAGGAATTCGAAAACCAAACAAAAGTTAATTTTAGTATTGTGCTTTTGGTAAGGCTGGACAGGGAAATTCAGAACAAACAGGACTTGAAAAGGGAACAGAGGGATACTAAAAACCCCTGCTATTTGAGTTAGCAAGATGGTACTGCACGCACAGTAACAACATAAAAACAAAAACAAACTCATAAGGACAAAGTACTAGGACTAAGAAGATATTTGATCCATAAGGTCTTGAGCTACAGTTCTGACACACATTACACCAGATGCTATAAAGAAAGGACAAGAGCTACGGCCAAAACAAGCTGTATCACAAGGTAGCATTTCTAGCTGTTCCACTAGAACACCTCTGGGAGTAGTTTCAACTCAAGAGCAGCGTCCGGTTTTGGAAGAACTAATATTATTCCATGGTTACATAGATTTCTTTAGCTACCAAGGGCAATTGCATAATTGAGCCAAGATGGATAGTCACTCAAATTACATCTGTCTGACTCAATACTGTAAGTATCTGTAGAGCAAAAGCCATAAGGAATAAAATAAAAAATAAAAGTTACTTTGATGGTCTGGACCATTTTTAGACTTTTGACTGTCAAGACAGGAATTTTTATCCCTTCAACTTGACCAGATAACTACAGGGTACACAAGTCTGTGCATGGCTATTCTTCTACTCTGATAACCCAGATTCCACCCATGAAAATTACCATGGTAAAGAGCTAAACTCTCGTTAAAAGAAAAATTATCCACTTTCTCACTTAGCAGTGCCTTGGAATTACAACATCCCACATATGGATCACTTATGCTAGAAAGAGTCCATTACGAGCAGCTAATAAATAGCTATGACTCTTAAAAGCCAGCCCTCAATTAATGAGATTCTTTGAAAAAGCTTTAAATATGTTTCGTGCACCACTAAAATAAAAACACAGAGCCATAAGCACAGATGTACTCCTTGTACATTAATTTTACGGTGCAGGGAAGGGAGAGTATAGGGGAACTGCAGCACTCACCATTCTACTTGCATCACCAAGCACTCCTCAGGCACATAAACCAGTAGTAACACCTCTTCGCTTTCCTCAGTCAGTCTTGTCAGAACTGAGACTGCTTTAGAAAGGACTGGCCAAATAATAAAAAAACAAACCACACTTGGAGAAGAACAATACATAAAATTCAGGGGGAAAAAAAAATCATTATGCTGCAGCTGGGTGCTCTTAAAATTATTTCTGAATATTGTTTTATTCTACCTCTACTTGATTCTACCTTGTTATCGGAATCTACTTTCCTTTTTATTTTTGTGAATCTATTTTTCTGTTTTAATCCTCCTCTCCCGTAGTACTTCAATTTCTCTCATGCTGTTTGTCCTTCTCCTGACAAACCAGCCAATCCCTATTACACACACACACACACACATACACACACACACACACACACACACACACACACACACACAGAAGTCATTATTCAAACCACACAACCGATTTTCTAGGAAGAAAGTGGAGTCTTCTGCTGCATATGCAAAACCAAAGAGGCATTTGATTGAGATTGATCTTTTTCTATTCAGTGATTTTTGAGAATCTCAATAGAAACTTCACGTCTTTAAAAGTTTATTGTGAGCCGAGCTTTCAGTCAGCATCTACTCAGAAGGTAATACAAATTGGATGCTAAGCCATGCTT